ATATATGGCTGGCGCGCTTATGAGGTTTGCTACTTGGGCGGAAAATGGGACGGGATCTCCGGGAGACAAGGACGGAGTCGGAAGGAAGGGGGCTCTAAGGTGAATGAAGAAACTTCGAATGCCCCGATTAATCTGAAATGACTCATCGCTTTGTTTTTTGGGGTCTTTCTCTCTATTGAAACATATTTCTAGGATGTGGGAATTATGCCTTCCCTACGCTCACGATTCCGCGATGTTGTCGTTCTACCTTCTTGGAAGTATTCCGACTGGCACCGCCTCGCAAGCATCGAGATCAAATGCAACGAGGGCTTTACGGTTTCCGAGCCATATTCTCCCCCATAATCTTGATCTTGTCGTTCAAGACGTAGTGAGAGCGCATCCAGGATTGGAGTTTCTGGCGAATATGCCCATTTTCCAAGCCCGCTACGTCGACACGGTAGTTGCAAGAGTGTGGTATGGAAAGGGACGTGGTGGAGATGAAAGGTACGTGATGCCAGTTAACTGGATGAATAAACAAGGTTTGTTCTAATTAGTTGTCTTAGAATGACGTTGTCGGACTGGAGAAAGTCTGGATTTTTGGACGTGTTGCGCAATCTAGAGCAAGAAGAGGATGTTAATTCGGTGAGTTGATTGCTTCAACCGACGAAGCCATTGGCGTTTTTGTAAATCTTTTGTGAACCCCATCATCAGACGCGCGATCCTTTTTCATACAAACATTTCTATGTTATATATTGTCGATTTTGGGAACTTGACACCGACCACGATATGGTCATATCGGGATCTCAGCTTGCTTCATACGATGGCTGCAGGATCACTCGTCGGGTGATGCGTCGTGTGGTGGAAGGGTACGGCCGTCGTGGTGCTCCAAAGACTGCTCCTGCAGGATCAACACCACTCGCGGAGACCAGAAAAGTGCCACGGGCATGGTTCACGGGCTGGAAGAAGGGAGACGCAGAGGCGAGTGAGGCGATTGCGGAGGACTTGGCTGCCGCGGAGGGCGAGGAGGGCAATGAGAGCGAAGACACATGGGAAGAAGCCAAATTTGAGTACAGGGACTTTGTCTGTAAGTTGAGGTCCACCACTTCCCATTGTCGGAGCTCATCCCTCACAAACTTTCTTTGACTTCCGAAGGGTTCATTTTGTCCGTGGAAGACAAAAATACTCCTCCTGCCATTGAATATTGGTTTCGCTGCTTGGATACGGATGGCGATGGCATGCTGAGCTTGCACGAGTTGAAATATTTCTACGACGAGCAAAGGGAACGGTGAGTTAGCGAACCTCTCTACTTTCTTGTGCCTCAGATTCAATTCTATCGTTCGGCGCAGGATGTACTCGGGGTTTGCCACGTTCTGCAACGAGGTTTGGTCCTTCCCAGACTTTGTATGCAACCTTTTGGACCTCGCCCAAGTTTCACCGCACCGACCGTATTTGACCTTGGCGGATCTCAAACGATGCCGAAATGCCGGTCTACTGTTCAATTTTCTTTTTGATTGGAGGAGGTACGATGTGCACGTTCACAGGATGGAGCCAAGCTTCCGTGAGCAAGACGAGGTGTGGATTGCGGAAAAGAAAGGGGGGGCGGGACGTGTGAAGTTAATGTGAGCCAGTACACGTCGCTACTCAGAGATTTTGAAGACTAATTGGGTTTCTGCTCTATTCCATGTTTGACCTGAAGCGGGTGGGACAAATTTGCGGAGCGCACATATGAGCTCCTTGCTTACGAGGAACAGCAGCAACAATCTGCCGCCGCCGCCGCTGCAGCAATAGCCGCGCAAAAGGCAAAAAGGCAAGCAGCTCAGGCGCGGTCGGTGCGGAACGGTGCTGCGTCGGCAGCCCGCAAGGTGTTGTTTGACGTCGAAGGAAGAGGTGCCAGGAGCACGAGGGGAACAAGCAGTGGGAACGGCGGGCATCGGAATGGGGGAGGGGGGAACTTTAATGGACGATACATTGGATCGAGCGACAGTGATGAGGACGACGAGTTGGAGTCTGTACAGGTGGCGGATGTGGGAAATGACGAGGAAATGATCGAAGCCTCTGATGACCGCATGGACAACTCGAAGAAGAAGGAACAGAGCCGTGTGGAACAAACTAATCACAAGGGCCAAACATCCAGAGGGAGCAAGTAGGAAGGAACTCAACCTTGAATCTCCGACCGAAAACTGTACGTCCACCCAGCAGGACGCCACTCTTTTACTCGAATTGCAAATAATAATGTACCACGCTCGTTTGTGAATAATGAATAAAAGTTACCAATTTTCGTGGCGCCTCTCTTTTTGCTTTTTTTGTCTTGGCCCGCCTAAACCCTTTCCGGTTTGCACTGAGGTGCACATGAATGTGGAGATTTATGTGGCACAAACGTGAATTGAAGTTGATGTGTTCACTAAGTACATGAATTTGAGTTGTTGCGAGTGGGCGAAATGCCGGTCCCTTGCGGGTGGGGTTCCTCGGTTCCATAAACAGATAATCCGTGCGTTTCCACCCATCCATCATTCCAGTGCAGGATTACTGTCTAACTACAGAGAGTAGGAAGCATATATTTTTAAAACGTGTTTGATAGCGAAAATTTGGAATAAGTGGCGAAAGTAATCGACAAGCACGATGCAATTCTGGTAAATATACTTTTCTATCGATTGAGGACAAGTGAAGCACTGTGCACATTTCAATTCAGCCTCTGTGCAGATGTAAAATGTTCCAGAATCGGGGAATCAGCGAAACTCCGTCCTTTTTTTTTCAAAAAGGGTTCGGCACAACAAGTCGGTCTTGAGGCAACAAACGGCCATCAACTTCATTCCGCTGCAACTCCGCCGTCGCACTCGCTCGCTCGACGCTGCCCACGCTCGCTTCCCCTGCGAAAAATCACACTGCGCTGCGCCCTGCCAGGTGACTCGGAACTATTGGAATAACAGGCTGCTCCGAGGCAACCGCAGTCCAACCCCGCCATGTGAGTTGTCTGCTGCACGGCGACGCTACACGCTCTCTCCGCGGGACACGCCTTATTCTCTCCATGATCGCATCAATCACAGCCACCAAAGACCCTATCTTCAACGCTTCAAAGAAACGGTCCCCGATTCGTCTGGAACGAAGCATGAACGCAGACACCTTGCAGACCAGAACCACTTCTTCTCATCAGCCCGACTTTGCATCGGCGCTCTCCTTTGCTCAAGGGAGGCCGACCCAACTGACAGAATTGGCAATTCCCAAGCCACCCAAATCACCGCACTTGCCATCACCACCGCTTTCAGCGGAAACGGGCTCACCTTCTGGTGTAGTCCGTTACGGGGCCTCAACTATGTCCGCTCCTCAGTCTGGTAGGCTGACATGGAGTTTGGCACCCTTTGTCGGAATGTTTGATACTTAAACTCCATTCAGCGTATCATCTCAACTATGGACCTCTCCCCTCGACAAAGTCCCTTCTGTCCGATCCGGAACTCGCGCCCCCACTCCCTCAAACCGCTGAACTCGGACTGAACCCTCCCCTCCTCCCGCCACCTTCGAAACTTTTTGACATGTCCCAGTATTACATCCCGTTCCCAGAACCATCGATAAATCCTCCTGCAATGATGATGAATCCAAGTGGGGGACGACCTGATGAGCCGAATGTAATGCATGGACGATCGAGGAGTGCGAGTTCCACCTCTTCCCCAGGTGATGCAGCAGTAAGTCCTCAGGGGCAAGGAGCCGTCGAAGCGTACTGGAACGACGGCGCTCCGGATGCGATCGTCAAGCAGGGTGAGTCCGCTATCCCACTGAATGCATGAGTAATTTTTGGACCGAACCGTTCTATCAGATGACGATGCAAACTCATTGCATGGAAGTCACAAGCGGCGGATCAAACATGTCACTAAGGTACATACCACATGTTTTATGTTTCCAATGCCGACCGCTCATACCTCTATCTGGTTTATGTTGCAGGCCTGTGATCAGTGTCGTGCACGGAAGCTCAAGTGCGATGGCCAACCACAATGCTCGCGATGTACTCGGAGAAACACCCAGTGCCACTACCGCACCACGATGCTCAAACGAGGTCCGCCAAAGGGATCCGCATCGAGCCTCGTTCGCAAATTGAGGAGACTCGAAGCTGCATTGATGACTGGGAAAGGCCAAGACGGAGAAATCACCGAGCTGGCGACGCCCCCACCAATGGCAACTCCACTGCCAGAGTCACACGCATATCCTTCTCTGACCACTTGGAGCCCCACTCCTCACCACTCTTCAGCTTCTCATGTTCCCGACGTTCACCACCACCTACGGACTTCTTCCCAATCCCCCACAACTCATCACTTCGCCACTGCGCAAACGCAATACCACGCACCCCGAGGGTACTTCCATGAGCCGGCTTATGGATACACTCCTGCCTTCAGCGAAGGAGGCTACCCGGTCGGCGCATACCCTCCCACGGGCTATCTTCCTCCCATTGCGGCCATCGGAACAGACTCCCGCGGACAACCCTTCTACCACCACCAACCGCGGGCACATGTTGGCTACGCGCCGACGCCTCCGAACATGGGATACCCCTACTCGTCGTTCTCCTACCCAGTCTCCGGCGAAGCATACCTTGGTGCTAACGAGCCTTACTTCGGCGGATACAGAGCCGTAGAAAATGGTGCCGCGTGATTGTGATGGTTTGGATCGCATCAATAACTTGGCGCGTTGCTGGCCAATACGCGGGTAATTGCATTCCCTTGATAGTTTTGATGCTCGCAGTTGTAGCTTTGGCGTTTCTAATCATGAGCATGTGATGTTGGGGAACGAATAAATCGTAATGTTGGAGTTTCCCATTCTATGCTTTGAGGGAAGTGAGTGGGGATGGGGCATAATTGCAGTATGGATTGAAGAATGGGCGTGAGGTTGCACTTGGCGGGCAGGCAGTGTCATGTATGATACTAAAACCAATGCAGTGAGTACAGCAATCCGAACAAGCAACAAAGAAAAAGATAGTCTCAAGAAGTGAAAAAGCAACGACCGGGTTGTATTCCCATCGACTCGAAAAGACCAAAAGACGAGCCGTGCAGGGATTGAACCTGCGACCCCCTGATTCGTACGTAGCCAGATTATCTATCCACTGATCTAACAAAGTGCAAGTCGCGTAGTCACATGATCTATCCACTGATCTAACAAAATGCGAGTCATGCAGGATTCGAACCTGCGACCCCCTGATTCGTAGTCAGATGATCTAATCCACTGATCTAATGACCCCGAATTGAGATGCGGTGTACCAATCTAAATATATAAATAATATTTTTTTTTATATTCCACGACTGTTCTGCATTGTGGTCCTGCACATGTTCATATAAATCAACAATTTCAACGATGAGCTGTGCAAAGTCTTTGGAAAACCAACCCTGATGCTGAGTGGAACAACTTTGTTCTCTTTCCTCACCCACCAATGGTTTGCATGACCTTATCTACAATGGGAAGAATCATTCTAAAAAGCAGGCAACACACTATTGCATAACGTTTGGTGGATTATTGAGGGAAAGACTGGCACAGTACAGACAAATGGTTAGGTGAGGTATTTTCCCTTTTGGGTGGAGGGATTGGAGGTCTAGCAAAGAAGTGATAACACCTTGGAAATGGTTCTTTGCTGGGCAAAACATGCCCTGGTTACTGTTGTATGTACAGTCAATTCCACAAATTACCTTGCTTACATTGTGCTCTCCTGGCCTTTGTCATTGTGGGTGTTGCTGCCAGATCTGAAGCACTGAATCTTGGAACAGAATACCAAGCCGCTTGCCAACCAACAACACTCCCATGTCACACTGGACATCCACTAATGTGGAATATATAGAGTAGTATGAGTGTTGGGTATTAGCTGCTGTGCCACTACTGTGGCCGCGGGTTTAGATGTGCACACCTGCAGGACGTGCCCTAAGTTTGGCATCACATTCCGGCAGGTGAGTTCCATGCACAGTACAACTGTTATGTATATTTGATCACACATACACATTCCTGCAGATTACAGGCTTGTGCAGCTCACCTAGGTTGTGTAGCATCCCACAAGCAGATGGGCTCCTGAATTGAATTCTTTATTACATAGTGTCTGTATTGTGATAATTGTGCAGTCTGGGGACATTGTCAAGAACTTTTGTAAGCTTGGGACCTGATGCAGTTTGAAGTATATCTTGGGTTTGAGTATCCTGCAGGAAATGTATTCCGATCATCTTTATTTGGGCATAGAAGATTAAAGAATGCCACAAAGTTGTTGTTATTCAGGCTTTGAAGGCTACTAATGGGTCAAGAGAACTGTGTTCAGGGTGTCACGTTTTTTACACCCCCCACCCTGGAGAGTGCCCCCACCCTGTAAATTGCTCCACCCACCCCTTAAATTGATGCAAGATGCACCTGTGAAATGATGTAAGGC